GGTTGAGGTCCCTGCCTGCCTGGCGGCAGCGAGGACGCGCCGCCAGAGTCTCCCGTCCAAATCGCGAAGTCGGGTCGAGATACCCCCCGCACTGCCTCCTTCTTGTCAAGTGCACATCGATCTCTTGCCCGCGGTCGGGGTATCTGTTTATCGCGGAGTATAGCCGCAGAAACAAGGCGATACCCCGCGCCAACTGCCTTCATGGCATTGGGCTCCTGGGCATGCGCAAAACAAAGCGCGGGTAAATTGAAAACAGCTCATGTCGGCGTAGACCTGCAGACCTTAACGAACACTCGAGCCTCGAGCCCACTCATTTCTTATTCAACTCTGTTGAGCACCATCAACTATCCCGTTTACAGAAATGAACATAGACTGAAGGCGAAATATATCCCCCATCGTCAGTGGCACTGCATTACATCATACTCATGAACTAAAGCAGGGAGAGAAAGATTGACTGGTGTGTAACCTCTCCCCACACCCTAGTGCCCAGTGCCCGGTGTTGTGAGACACTCACCTGACATGATGGCCGCGGTGACGGCGGCCGTGGCCACGATCACGCCCCCGGAGCCGACTGTCGCCGCTGGCACGTTCCCGTTGACGGTTGACGCGATGGAGGCGGGCGAGGCGCCCAGCATGCTGCCGCCCGCAGGCAGCCACCCGGGAGGCCACCGAAGGCGGGAAATTCGACGGCGGCCAGGCGCACGGCGCGTGGTGGCGTAAGAAGGGGCTCGCGTCACAGCGTCCGGGACGCGCCGGCGCGACGATCACCTCGCCGACGACGGGGGGATGTCCCCGTAAACACCCGCACAGGACACCGGGCGGCGGTCCTCGCGCGCGCACGCACACACACACACGCCCACACTTAGGGGGGATGCTGTTTGTTGTTTGCCCGGCTGTTTGGCTGGCACCGGCGGTGAGGTCACTACCACCACCACACTCCACTTCTACCTGCACTCGACAAACACGGTCACTAATCCTCGCGGTCCTGCTGGTGGCGCTGGAGGTGTCGGCGCTGGAGTCCGGAGCAGGACCAGCCGAGCCCCATTCAGGTGCACGTCAAACCCTTCCGCGGGGCCGGTCGCGGCACCGGCGGCGGCGGTGGTGGATGCAGCGGCGGTGGCTACGATGGCGGTGGCAGCGGGCGCAGCAGCAGCAGCAGCAGCAGCAGCGTCGGTGTCGCGTCGGTGTCGCGTCGTCTGCTTTGGACACGCCCCGGTGATGCCTCCCTCCGCCTGGGAGTGTGTCTCCGTCCCCGAAGAGTCGCTTTGGCCCCGACTTATCTCGCCTTATCATTCTGCCTCCTCTTCTTCTTCTTCGACTTCTTCCCTTCAGCCCGCCTCCTCATCGCCGCCGTCGCCGCCGTAGTCGGCGGCAGTCTTTATCACTGCAGTCAACAGCATCGGAGGGGAAGGGAGGGAGGAAGGGGGGAGGGGGCACTGCAAGCGAGGGGCAGGAGGGGGTAGGAAGCTTCCCCTTGGTTCAGGTTGTGGTGGTGGCCGCGGTGAATCCCCTTGCCGCCAGTGCGTCCCCCGTCGCGGCGGGAGTAGTAGCGGGGGTGGCGGCCCGGGCGTTGGTCTACGGCGCAGGTAAATAAAAGATATACAGCCACTAACACTGTCGCCCCCCCCCTCCCCCCTCTGCACGTACACATGCGCCACTCGGAGTGGGATAAGCGCTATCATAGTTCAATTTGCTGTTCCCCGGCCTCTATTACCCTTTTTTGACAACGAGCAGTGCGTGGCTGCTGCGCTCGTGATTGGCAGAGTGTGAACTGCTGAAGTCGACTCGTTTGGTCAGGGAAAGATCCCAGGTGTATCCTCTGGTGAATGGCAGCGCAGTGCACCCCGCACCGAGATTCGTAGGTAGTGGAAAGGGTGAAGGTGGAGGAGAGGGGAAAGTGTGAGGGGTGGGGGGGGGGGCACCACACCCGCTTGATCGCGATTAAGATTCAGTTTTTCGGCCTGGGTACGCGCCTCCCTGCAGCGACCGCCCGGCCCGGCCTAGCAGCGGGACCCCACCACCACTGGCAACAACAAGTAGTTGGTCGCAGATGCTATCTGGCAGGTGGGGCGGGGTGGGGCGGGGACGCACTACAAGCCGGCGACAGCGATAAGACTTCCGCCGACACCTGTCCTGGTCGCTTACGCCCCCGCCCCGCCCCGCCCCGCCCCGCCCCGCAAAGCGTCGTCGATTTTTATCGGGGCGCTTTGATTATTATTGTATATGCCACAGCGAGTCCTCGAAGTGAGGGGACACGTGCGAGTGAGGGAGTGAGAGAGACAGACAGACTGAGAGACAGAGCGAGAGAGATAGAGAGAGGGGCAGTGGGGATAAGGAAAGCCAGAGAAAAAGAGAAGACACGTAGCCCTCGGAGTAATCCAATGGTGATACGGCGACTGTGGGGAGGGAGGAGGAGGGGTGGTGGGGGGGCTGCGCGGCAGGAGGTACTAATTCGAGGGTCCGAAGTCCACGTATTGGCAATAATCACCTCAAACTTGTTTGTCCACTCGCCACCCGCGGCCCGCGATCCGGAGGCAGCAGCGCCGAGCGGCCCGCCGATTAGTCGGAACAGTCGGGACATGGACATGGCGTCGCGGGGCGCGTAGTACAGTAAGATCACCTCTGGCGAGCCGCGGGTAATGGAGAAGAGGACCCCGCGTATCGGGGAAGGCCGCTGGAAAAAGCGAGGCGGGCTTATTTCATAATGCCGCAAAAGGACTCTCTGACGGCACATTTCAAGAGCGCAGAGTATATAACTGTATGCAGCCAGAAGCCTTACCTAACCTAACTTCCGCTCCGCGGGTTTAGTTTACTACTACTCTATATTTAAATAACGCGCCATGTCAGGGAGGACGAGGCAGTCTTGTGCGCGGGCGGGCGAGGATAGGAGGGCGGCAATGCAAATCACCACGCCCCGATGTCCTCCACGATGTCCTTTACATTTCGGATGTCGGGGGGAAAACGGGGGGGGGGGGGGGGGGTATACACCACGAGAGGCGATAGGGAACGGCCGCCGGTCTCTTGACGGGCCAGGCATCTCTGATTAAGCGTCTAAGGTCGAAATGTCGCGCGAGTACTGGAGTTGATGCAACAAACGTCAACAAGGAAATTTAGAACTGGGAATATAATCGTCTAGAGAGATAGCCTGTGCAACGCAAAAAAACATTTACGAGCAGAAATAAAAGAACAGGAGTTGGAAAAAAAATCTCATTTTAAACCTCACATCGCATCACCAGCGAATGTCACTGTAAAAACGATCATTGCCAACAGAAATTTGCCCTCTGAAAGAAACAGTAATGGGGGGGTGCTGTATAAAAATAACAATGTCGGCAGGGAAGGGGGGGGGGGCAAGTATTTAAATACTCAGATCCCCAGATAGCCATCCTTTTATTTTTAATAGAGTCCCAAAAGGGTGGTGTGTAATTTTAAGTAGAGCCAGAGCCGCCCTCCGCAAATAATGAGATAGCGCCTTTATTTATAGCGTGCCAGACAGACACGCCACCCGACAAGACATGAAGGCTGCACGCGCGTACTGTATCGGAGGGAGCTTACCCCGGCCCGGCCGGCCCGGCCCCGGCAGCCCTGCGCGGGCGGACACGTCACGATCAAGCCACAGAATCCAAGTCTACACGATATTGCATTCGCGTCAACATGAGATAGGAACAAATTTTGACCCAAGTAAATCGGATCGCGTCAAACCGAGTTTATTGAATTACGTATCTGTGACTTGTTCGTTTGTCGCTAGGTCTGAGTACGGAGCATGTTCTTTTTGTTCTACCGGGCAGGCGCCGCGGACTTGACGATAGGGTGAGAAAGTGACTTCCAGGGACTAAAAAAAAGAATCAATTTCGACCCCCCTCCCCCTTTTGGTCTTATGCTTCTTTCTGAGGGCTAATTACCCCCTCCCCCCCCTTTTTTCCCCGGGCGCCCGGCACTTGGCACCCGACCCTGCCGCAGGGTGGTTCACCACGCGCCCCAGCACAGCGGGTTTGCCTATGCTCGACTCGGCGGGCGCACGGCTCCATGGTGGCGTCGAGCGCCCTTCCCCCCGAGTCGAGCACATCACATGCTGAGCTGGGCCCCTTTAGCACACGAAGAAGAAAAGGCACTTAGAAACTTGGTTCTTCGTTTCCCCTCCAAACTGACGCGCAGTTTTCAGTTATCCCCCCCTTTCCGCATCATGGACCGTTTTGTCTTGTTGACGCTCTCAGGGTCGCCCCCGCCCCCGCTGCGGCACCTCTCGGTGCAGCACTGCTATCAGCTGATCCAACAGCTGACGGGTGAAAGCACACCACGGGGCGCCGCCGGAGCACCCCACCGAGCACCCCACCTAGCCCACCCGGCAGGTTGCCCCGCGGGCTGCCCGGCGCGGCGGCGGCGCCCGCGGGTCGGATGGGTTGCCCGCCCCGCAGGCGCGCTGGCGCGCGCGCGAAAGGCGGCAAAGTTTGAATTAACGCAGTTAGGTCAAGAGATTGAGATTTCGGCTCTGGACTCCAACGGGCAGCGCCGTGAGCCTGCGCCGGAGAACGGATGAAAAAACTGGACAGGTGTGGTGATTCATCCGGTCCACAACACAACGTTACAGCTGTAACCTCGTGGCTGTAACCGAAAGCTCATACTAAGATCGCTGCACTTCCGAGAGGGGTCGGGGGTAATCTCTGGTGACCCCCCCCCCCCCCCCCCCCCCCTCCCTGGCTCCGACTAGATCAGACGGGATAACAGGATGGAAGGGAAGGGAACCCTCTGTGCCGGCGGCTCGCACGTTGCGTCCGCAACGCGTCTAAATCATCATGGAATCGACTCGAGATAACGACTTGTCGCCTCGATATGTTAACAGTTATTTGAGTGGGGGCGATGTGCGTCTGACGACACTTCAGGGCGTCACGTGAACGACCCATGGAATATAGCCTCACCTCCACCTCACGATCTCTTTTCTTTTTTTACGTTAATAATTTTTCTTTTTGAAACGTCGGGAGCGAAAAATCTTTACGAGTTGCAAAATGTGCCTTTAATAGCAGTAAAAATTTAAAACACACAATTACTAGGTGATCATCAGAAAAATTTAAAACACAATATCCAAGTGATTATCAGAAAAATTTAAAACACACAAGAACCAAGTGATTATCAAAAAATTTAAAACATACAAGAACTAAGTGATTAGCAAAAAACTTTAAAACATAAATTCTGATAGAAACTGTTGAGCAACCTATAATTTGTCATCATAGCATATGTGCTATTGTAGGCCAGAGCTTACATCTTACAGGTCAGCTAGTCGCAGGCGAGGAGTTGCAAGGGTCAAACTGTAAACGGGGGACGGGACTCCACCTTTGTCTGCTTCACGAGATAGCAGGGGAGTCACAGGTGTTTGCAGGTGGAGGGGGGGAAGGGTGTCGACCTGATCGGCCTTCGACTCAAAGGTCCGCCCGAAAATGGCGAGGAGGGCCGCAGGTGGCGGCTGTGCCCCGAGCCGAAATGGACGAAATGGACTCACCCGAACTCCGAGAGATGCGCTCACAAGTATTCCCACTTTCTGACTGACCGATCGCACTGGACGCACAGCACCTCGGCTGCCGCGGGCAGCACCGGCCGCAGGGTGTCGCGCTGGCGTGCGCAGTCCTCCTTCCGGTGCGTCTCGTCGTCGCCGTCGAACGTGTTGGCCATCATGTCGTTGAGCTCGAGCCTGCGCAGCGCCTGGAAGTCGCACTGCTCCAGCAGAGAGAACAGGTGGTAGCACGACATGCGCGCGCGCGCGGAGCCCTGCGACTCCAGCCGCAGCACCTCGAGGTTGAGACGATGGGCCGGCAGCAGGAACCGCAGCAGGGCCGGGCGCGGGGACTGCACTTCGAGCCACTGCAGAGTCGCAGGCGCGTCTGGAAGTGCCGCCAGGGCGCCGACAGGGGCGTCCGGCTTGCAGATGTCCTGACTGCCGCCGTACACGCGCAGCCTCCTCAGCCGCGGCATGGCGTGCACCGCCCGCAGGACGGCCGGCGTTGGCAGGCTCACACTCAGGCGCTCCAAGGTGGGCGCGGCGGCCTGCAGGACCCCGAGGTTCTCGTCGGTGCCGGACATGAGCAGCCTCTCTGCCTGCTGGTAAGGAGAAGGTAAAATTTTACAAAGAAATTATTGAATTTTAATCTTGGCAACCACCCATGTAACCAATGTAATTGTGGCTCCAAACCAAGACCTTCAAAGAGGGTCAGAAATCTTAACCAAAGACTTGACTTACCCCTCCAAACATCTTTGAGATCAGCTCCTTGTAGACAGCCCGAGCACTGGAGCAAATTTTCTTCTTACAATCGACAACATGGGTGGTTGAATCGCTGCCTTCCTTGTCCGCGTCCTGGCAATACAACCGTTTTTCCAAAAATCATTCAACAACGGGAACCTGACTGAAGAAAGCTCGTCTGCGTGATCATTCCCTCACTTTTTGTGGCACCTCCATCAGCTCTCCCCTGACAGCGACGAGGAGCAAGAGGGCCTTGGTCACGGGGTCATCGGCGTCCCCGAGCGACACCGAGAGCGAGCGGCGCGCCCCCCGCAGCGTCAGTGTCCAGGACTCGCCGGTGAGCGCGGCCAGGTTGGTGAGGGCCTGCGAGGCCTGCTCCTCCTCGCGCCGATCCTTCAAGCCGTCTAGCTGCGCATCAGCCTGCGACAGGACGTCCTGTACGCGTTGCCCGAGAGCTGCTCCCACGGCCAGGACGTGGTGTTGCTCCCAGCACCGGGGCGTGGCCAGGGCGCAGCACTCCGAACACCAACCGCGGGTCTTGTCGGGCCTGCGGAGAACACGGGGAGGTCACGAGACGTGAGGCGCACGTCAAACGGCACGGTCGTCGCAAGGGACAGAGATTCGTCAAGTCGACATCAATGGGAAGTCAGAATAAAAATTTAGGTATCGTGATTGCAAAATTACGTCATGTCAATCACGGTGACCAAATTCTGACGATGTTGATCTGATGCGACTCTGCCCTCGCGCATGCGATCACCAACCCACACTCACATGTCCACTGAGTTTTGGAGCATTTGCAGCACCGTGTAGTTGTTGGGGAGCCTTACCGGGTCACCGAGGAATGGCTGAAAAAGGGGGTGAGACTTTAGTCACAATAACGCGAAAGACATACTGATCAGAGTGATGAGCGGGTACGCACGTCACCGCACGTCGGGCACATTTTCCCGTCCATTTCCTGGAGACACTTCAGACACGCAGAGTGCACGCACGGTACAACCACCTTGGGCAAGCGTTCATTTTTGTTGAACGCCTCCGCACACACGTTGCACTCCATGGTAGGTCCTGGAGCAGATCACAATGTTTATTAAGCCGTCGCATCGTTAAGATAGCCAATAAATACACTCCACGACTGCGTGTACTCAGCACTGCTGTCACGTTTCAGGCTTGAAATTGAAACCCATCACTGCATATGCGGTTCAGAAACAACGCGGTTTGAAGGGTTTGAAACAGCAGGAGAGTGTGCGGGAAGTAGGAAGGGGAGAGGGAGCAGAAGGGAGGAGGAGGCACAAGTGGGAAAGGGGGAAAGGAGGGGGGGGGGGTAAGGTGTAATAGATACTAGAATTATTACACCTTGGGGGGGGGGGGGGGTTCGAGCGACCATACCACGCGAAAGGACTCCGCGGTTCGCGATTCTCCGTGGGGGTGGTCGCAAACCGCGTATTTCGACAGGTACCAATCAGCACAACCCTAACCCTGCGATTCGCAAGAGGAAGATAAAGGAAGCGAGTAGGCAACCACACTGTTGTCTTTCCCAACTAAATTTTTGCAAAAGTACGTCACTAGCTTTAAAATCTAGATTGGCGGGGTGCATCACTTTAACGCGAGTCCGTTTGAAAAGGCTGGTGGGGACTGGTGGCCTCGTAAATCTAAACTAGCAGGGGGCTCCTAACCTCTCTTTGGCGTTTCTGCAGCACGCATGACGTATGGAACACAAATAGTTGATGTAATTCGTCATCAGCTTCATCGAGAAGAAAGACGTTTGTCGCCGTACTCACAACAAAGTCCGTACCCAAGTTCGGATTCGAAGGTTTGTCGTCGAAACTGTCGCGTCGTCTCGCTACGATACTCGTTGCAGCCGCCGGCAGAACAGGGTGGGCTTGAGGGAATGTGGCCGGCCGGCCGGAGTGACAGCGACTGCGAGCGACAGTAGTGACGTCATGTAGCACTAGCTCTAGTCTGGGACTATAATGGTCGAGCAAGTCCTATTTAATTTATTTTAAAATTCTGGTCATGCAAAATTATTTTCTCTTTCATTGTAA